CCTAATCCATTTGTTGAAACATATGCATAACTGCATCCACATATAGTTCTACGTAAGAGTCAAAATGTGCAGGCACAGCTCGGGATAGACATCGATTTGATATGTTCAGATTATTAAAAAAAAGTTTAAAGAAGTTGGCTTACACTGTAAACTTAATCAGCAATATATGAAGATTAATTTAACTATATATACACATGCAAGATTTCTCTTTTTTAGATTTGAAATTTATTCTCTACACATCCCGTCACGTAGGTGAATTTTCAAGCCTAACACGCGGACAACACAAATTTGGTGACATGGAATACGTATGTGCGTTGGGATTCACAAGCGAGACAACATGCTTTGCTTATAAGCACATTCAAAGTTTCTCTTCCCCGACATGAAATCCACTCTATAAAATGTGTTCATATTAGTATATGGAGATATGTTAAAGAGACTATTTTAAGTTAAGATTCTCTATAAACTCTCTGACACATCATGTTTTTAATATAATATTTTATAATGTTAACACAAAAATCATGCCAAAAATATGAAATAGCGAAAAGTCTATAAAAATCTTACTTTTGGAATAGCCTTCTTAGCTTTTCTCTTATTATATGTGTTTTCTAGAGAATTCTGGGGATATTGTGATCATCGCTAATTGATCCTTTGAAAGTTGGAACAGGATGTCTTATCTCTTGTCTTATTATTTTTAATCATTGAACTGTTTGTTTTCGTAAGTATCACGATATGTTTTCATAAGGATTTTGTGCTAATCTTGTCCGGTAAACTAAAGTATCACATTAATCCTTACGTATTTTTCATTCCGTTTAAATCCTAACACAACCTAATTTAATATATTTCCCACACCCTCCTCAATTTAACAGGTTATTGACAATAGGTAACATTTTCAAATGAGTTTTTGAGAAAAATTTCGAGTACATAGTCATATCGACTAAGTAAAACAATAAAATTATTAATAGACCAGAATTAACTCAAATTCCTAAGTAAAAGCAATGGATATTTTTGGTCTAAGAATGCTCTGAAAATCGAAGTTTGTAAAATTTGCTCACAATGTATGTGTTAAAATTTGTCACTTAATACTACAGTCTAATGATATTCCTCTTCACTTGTAAGTGAGAGGTCTTAGGTTTGATTCTCAATATAGGCAAATTTGAATCATATTATTGTTAGCCCAAGGTAAAGCTTAGCCCACTCCTCCTAATGTAAATAAAATCGTTTGTTTGTATATTAAAATAAAAAAAATAAAAAAAGGTCTTTATTTTTCTTTGTATTAAGGAAAAGGCCAACTGATGGGTTTTCCACGATAGTCCAGCCTTCTAGGGTCCATGAAGACTCACAGAGGCTCAGAGGCATTTCAATCTCTTTTTTGCCACCGCGTATGATTTACTAGCGCTAGAAATTGAACTCATAACTTTCCATGTGGAATACAAGCTTAGAATTCGTTACCAAATGTTAATCGAGTAATTAGTACTCTTGCGGAGGAGTAATGAGAATTTGGCAACCGAAAAATTAATAAAAGTTTGTGGTCTCTGTGTATAAAGCACAAAATATCGTGTGCAGTTATATTTTGGACAAACACCAGTGACTTTTCCTTTGCTAGGGTTGCCTTATTTATTTTATTTTCCTTAATTGTTTTTTTTTTTTTTTTTTGTAAACTATTTTCCTTAATTGTTTGGTAATCAAGAAAAGTTCTCGTAGCGGTTGCAGGGGTGAGTTCAAACCTGTTCCTTGTGTAAAATTGAGGGTTAGCAATATAATTTGATGAAAATGACCACATTTTTAATAGATTAAAATCAAAGATGAAATAAGTCAAATTCAAAAAACGGGAACCAAAAAATATGTATAAAAAAGTGATTAAATGAAATTATTTCTTAATACAACGATATGCTTACATTAAAGGGTGCAAGGAAGTGACTCAACACGTTACAAGTCATTATTAAACAAAATTTCTTACAGTTAACCGCTAAGTCAAATGTTATAATTTCGCAACGTACAAATACCAAATTATTACGGTTAAGAATACCTGTGTTAGCCGTCTTAAAAGGGAAAAGTTCAGGTACTAAAATGGAATTAAATAGCCTCAAAATATTTAATAGCAAATCGGGGTTGTAAATTCAAAATATATAAAATTTTGGGGCATCTTTTCATTTGGTCCAAATTAAGGCAACTTTGTGATTGTGAGTATGCAAAGATGCTGATACAAAATCTTTGATTTTCCAGCGAAAGTTGAGGCGGAGGACGAGCAAAAAAACAACGAAGAGAACAAGAAGGAAACGGCTAAATGCGGAGCTTCTTTGGTAAAGGCCGTACCTCGTCACTTCCCAAACAAAATGCTTCGTATGGAAGCTCAGCTTCAGAGAAAGATTTCAAGCTGATGAGCGGATCAATGGGCAGTCTCAAAATACCAGAAGCTGTTCCTCCTCCCGACCAAGACTGTCAGAGACTTAAAAAAGCCTTTGATGGTTTTCTTCTCACTCACTCACTTGCTCATTCACATGATTCAATTACAGTTTATGATGGTTCTGCGTCTTTAAATGCTTTAATCAATTGCGTGTAGCCAAGTTAGCTACAACAGTGTGCTTCTGTCTTGTCATAGTTTAGATAGAGTGGATTAGAATTTGGCTATGTTAAAAAAATTGTTTTATTCAATTTTCTTGGTTTATGAGATTTCTGAATTTTGGATGGGATGAGTTTGATTTCTTCATGTGGTTAATTGGCAGAAACATGTGTGGCTTTTTGCATGTCTACCATCTTCTCTTATTCTCTTGCTGAAAAGCTGAGTAGGATAAATTTTCTGTTATTTTTCATCATGTTTGTAGAAAAAAGTAATCAAATTCTATCATTTTCTATTATTTTTCATTATGTTTTGGAAAATAAATTTTGTTTGTTGAGACTTGGAGTATTTGAAGCCTGAAGACTTGACGCAAAACCGAGTGTAGTGGCATCCTAGGATTCATACAGTCGACCTCATTTAGTGGAATAAGGCTTTGTTGTTCTTATTGTTTTTGCTGCTGTAATCATAAATGAATTTGCTGCTGCTATTGATTCATGAATACTTGTTTTTTCTATATATATTTTCTATAGTGATTTTAAGTGTTGGTGTAAATGTATATAGGATTGGGAACAGATGAGGACGCTGTGGTATGGATATTAGGACACAGGAATGCTAGCCAAAGGAGGAAAATCAAAGACACGTACCAACAGCTTTACAATAAATCCCTCATTGATGATCTCCACGCTGAACTTTCCGGAGATTTCAGAGTAATTTTCTCCAATATTTTTTCGGTTTTAAAACTCGTATCTGAATTCATCCAATTGCAATTTTAAACCTTCATAAGAATGTCATGTTCTTATTGTTTATGTTGATGTTATTCCCTCGGTTTATTCGTAACCATTCAAGTGATGATGTGTAACAGAATGCAGTACTTTTGTGGACATATGATCCTCCCGAAAGGGACGCTAAGTTGGCGAGAGATGCACTGAGGACGAAGAAGAAAGGCGTAAAACACCTAAAAGTGTTGGTTGAGATAGCTTGTGCATCATCTCCTAACCACTTGATGGCCGTGAGACAGGTCTACAGTTCACTGTTTGATTGTTCGCTTGAGGAGGACATTGCCTCAACCGTTTCCCTACCCATCAGAAAGGTAAAAACATATTTTCCTACGTCAGGAATATCAGGTTCAAATACTTGGTAAATTTTCGTTGTTATAATGCTCAGTGATTACTAACATCTTCGTCTGTAAATATTCTAAAAAAGGGTGAAGATTTTAAAGCAATTAAGCAGTACTTGTCTGAAATGATACAACAACAACAACTGAGCCTTATCCCACTAAGTAGGGTTGATTGTATGAATCCTAGAACGCCACTACACTCCGTTTTGTATCAAACCTTCCGTTAGCTCCACTTGTCCGAAATGATATTACAAAATTTGCTAAGAAAGGAAAATGTCTTTTGTTTTCGTTCACTGAAAACAGAAAATTGTGGTTTCGGACTGGGTCTAGTGTTGCATTCTATTGACTCATACTGTTGGTTGGCACAGCTTCTCGTGGGTTTAGTGAGCTCGTACAGGTACGACAGGCAGCTGGTGGATACAGGCATTGCCAATTCAGAGGCATCTAGGTTACACGAAGCCATCAAAACAAAGCAATACGATCATGATCATGTTGTTTGGATACTCAGCACAAGGAACATCTTTCAACTAAGAGCAACATTTGAGTGTTACAAACAAAAGTATGGACATTCCATCGACCAGGTATATATCACGTCTCCTTCTCTACTCTTCAGTAATCTGAAGACTCGCGATCTTCTAATCCCTTGTTTTTCCTTCGGAACTTTGCTAATTTCGTTGATAGGACATTAAGAGCTGCGGCAATGGTGATTTCGAATCCGTGTTGATTGCGGTATATTGGTGCATAGCAGCACCTGCGAAATATTTTGCAGAGGTTAGTTCATTACCTCCGCACCAAGTACTTATGTTGAGTATGGTGTTTGGTTCCTTAAATTCCATTACTGATGAACGTGTTCGATCGGATTATAGAAAGTGTTGATATCAATTTTAACCTCCGTTGTACCGGAAAAGTTCTTAAACGACCCTTTGTTGTTGCTTGAACCACAACCAGGTCATCAAAGATTCCGTTGTCGGACTTGGGACGGATGAAGATTCTCTGAATAGAGCCATTGTCACCCGAGCTGAGATCGACATGATCAAAATCCGAGAGGAGTATTCAAAAATGTCGAAAACCAGCCTTGTCGATGACGTTATAGGCGACACATCAGGAGACTACAAAAACTTCTTGTTGACCTTGATTGGAGCAAGAGTCTAAATTCATTCTACCAAGATGCTTAAGACCTCGATTGAATTTATAATAAAAGTGTTATGATTGTGTTAAGAGTGCCAAAACTTGTCGCCTATTTTCGACTCTATCGACCGTTTGTAAGTCGCCTATTTTCGACTCTATCGACTGTTTGTAAATAATTCGAAGATTGTTTCGCTTTCATTGTCAAAGGCAACTGCTTTGCATAAGTAACTGAGGCACGTTTGGAAGCACTTCAAGTGTTTTTTTCAGAATTCACTTGCAATTTTACTAACGATTGTACAAAAATCCAATATAAGAATTGAATGAAACAAAGTTATATTACCTTCGTTTAGATGCCATCTAGAACACTACCTATTGCTTCAAAAATGATGGAGGCTAAACTTTCGTCAGCGGTACTAATGACAGTGATTGTCTCTCTGACTTCTACAAGAGCTTGGTTTGGATGGTGGACGTGTACTAGAGAAGCACTTCTTGATTCAGAACCACTTGGTGCTTCCCCAAGCGTTGCCTTGATGCCCCTGGTTGATAACACCAGCAGAAGCTTTTCCAAACTGGGTGAACCCCAATGTACCAGCGGTCTACTCTCCGAGGACTCTAGATTTCCAGATAACAACCGTTGTCTGCCATGATCTACGAAGAACTCCCCGTTTAACCTTGTCATTTTCATATTGCCCTGCTTCAAATTCCTCCATTTGAATTGGGTAGCCAAGTCTGTTGCCATTTCTAGTTCTGAATTGTCCTTCAAGCTTGGTATACGCAATGTTTCATTAACGCGGTAGTGCAAGGTCGAGAAGGAATTTGTTATTGAAGAGCTATTCGGCTTCAAATCTTCAGGTAACTA